AGAAAGAGAGAGAGAGAGAGAATACATGTGTCTGTAGTGCAAGAAGAAGCACTCATGTAATGTGAATGTCTTTATGGTCAGTATCAACTTTCCCACTTTCTCCATGTTCATTTTGGTCGTTGTCATCTTCATTGTGTTAAGTCACTGTGTGTCATATCTGTTCTTTGTTCTCCTAAACCAGTGGTTCCCAGTGAGGTAGTTACCATTAGTCACAAGTTGCATATGCATTTGAGGTGTAAGCATTTCACTAAAAAGTGATATTCCCCTCCAATTACAAATTGCTTAAGCCGAGTAATTCCAAAAAGAAATAAAAAAATAAAATAAGTTTATACAACACATGCCCTCAGATTAACTTTTGAGCCCAGACCAGACACTCTGGTTGGTTTCAGACATGTTCATTGTAAATAAACTCATTAAACAGCACTCAACCAGCCACGTCAAAGGCTTGGAGTGTTAAAGGTTAGAGGGTAACTTTAGTGTTTTAATTCTAATGCTATTGGAAGAGGAGTGAGAGGGGAATCAATCATGAGAGAGTGTAGAGCCAGCCAGGTGATTGTTGGAACGATGGAAAGACTAGCAAAGACTGTTTGGTGACTTTTATTATTATTATAATTATAATTATTATTGTTATTATTAGGAGTTTAAATGGTAGAGGTAAAATTACAGTTTTTGTCAATGGAGACAGGTGGCTTTAAACACAGCAATACAATGGCTGTTAAAATCTTACTTGTTCAAAAAAAGGTCCCCATAGTGATCCTTTCCATAATGTTGACACTTAGAATAGCAATTTGAGCCTGTCAGTGGTAAAAACAAGCACTTTTAGTGGACGTACTTTGACGGGCGCATTTGTCCCCAGAGATTACGTTGCAGCCAGTTTCGCGGCTTCCGTCTGCAGCACTGACACTTAATACTGGACCAATTTGAAAAATTGTTGTCCCCATTTGTCACTTATACACAAAAACATGGGAAAATCGACCTTTTTTCACAGCAGCCATTTTGACATGAAAACAAGTTTTATCAGTGATAATAATTTAGATTCAGTTCTATTCAGGTCAAACAGAGTCAAGGTGCCGCTATTGTACATGTTGGCTCAATGAAAAGACTCTGCTACACTAAATGTAATAGAAACTTAAGTGTAATTTTAACACCTGTGTTTACCTTATTATTTCATGTTAAAATGGCTGCTGTAAAAAGGTCTATAGGATCCATACTAAAGTACTGAAGTGACCCTTTAATTACCTCTCTAATCTGACATCCTGTTGGTCTGCTTAATAATTTGAGGGCCCCAACAGACAAAGTATCTCATTATTTGTGTAGGACTTTATATTCTTTTGTCTAAAGTAATTTCAGCTGTTGGTGCAAATATTGCCTTACAATGAGTGTGCCAACAACAAAAAGACTTAACTGACATCCACTGACTAAAATACATCTGTATATATTATTATTATCTTTATACCTAAACAATTAAATCATGAAATGTCTTATCCTCTATTATCCTCTAGAATTAGACCTGCAGTGGCTAATACCACTTAAGATTTATATATTTGTGTCTTAGTATCATATACTGTCTACATGGGTGCTTGCAATATGATTCCCACCCTCTCACACAATGCAACAGGAGATCTTGACCGATTAAGAATGCTTACCGACTGACATATCAATACTTACTTATCATGACTCCGGACACGGCCAGCAGCAGGGCGGCGATGAGGGCCGAGGTGCCCACGGACAGACCGAGCGCCAGGTGGGAGAGAGACGGCTGGGGAGTCAGCACGATTACCTCTGGAAGACAAGGGGAAACAACAGCGTTCCACAGTTGTTATCTTCCCCAGAGGAGTATTAACATTCACTCCGCTGCTCTGATCCCCAACTTAATTAATGATGTGAAAGCGATGACACAACAGAGCTTAGGAGCAGCGACGGCCGGTGCATGTGAATTCCTTTTCAGTGGCGAGGGGAGATCTCATTTCACTTGTCTAAGCTGAGGAACAAATCTGCACACCGAGAGAGACCATATTGAGATTGTGACCTTTTCTGACCTAGCATCATAGAATTATCTACTGCTTGTCATTACAGAGAACAGATTTGCAAATCATAGGGCAAGGAGACACTCTAGGTCATTAAGCTATTATTTAGATGGTAAGGGCCCTGTTATTTTGGTTCAAATTATAAAGTGACATTCCGACACATGAATTTATTTCAGATCAGAAATCATTATTGGAGAGGCAATTCTAGGTCCATACGGGTTTGTCTACATACAGTTTAAGCAAAGAAGACATGGCACTTGAAAATGGATATTTACTCAAGGTTGACATGGTCTAATGGGCAGAGCCAGGTGCATGAACTTACTCATTAAGCCCATTATGAAATGCACTGATAGAAATCCAGTACAATGTGACATGAGTATCCAGGTGAGGCCTTTTATTTTGAATCCCTGACATCATAAGATAAAAGAGCTTTATGTGACTGTAGCACAGAGATAAATTACAATTCACAGAACACGACTCAACACTTCAATACCAGCTAATACTGCTATAGCTATATCCATTTTCATTAACAGGTTAGCTTATCCTACGGATTGATAATTACTATAAATGATCAAGGCACTATTAAAAAACCCTTCCTCAGATAAAGATTCAATAAAGTACAGAGCCTCCCAGGCTTAATTACTTTTGTAGATTAATTTGTTATCTGTTCACTGAGTCACAGTCTATTACAGGTACAATTACATTCAGCTTAACTCATTTCTACATTTGGATTAATTTCACATATTCGTGTCGAGGAGAGAGAAATAGATTATGGTTCTTCATCGCAGACTGTAAAGTATGTGTGTGTATGTGCAGTGCTTTGGGTCAGACCTGTAGTGTTGATGCAGGACACACCGTCTGGTGCCAGGATGAGGTCATCATCACAGTAGCAGAGGACACTGTCCTGGATCTCGTAGCATTCACCGCTCACACAATGGCTGCAGTTCGGCACTGGACTAATGATCACCTCACCATCCCCTTCCATAGCTGTAGGCGTCCCCGCGTCCCCCCCACACACATACACACACACACACAGAGGGGGCAGAGCAGAGGTTCCCAAAATGAGCAGGGCTTGATTTCTCCAGGAATCATCTGGAGGAATCATCTCAAGGATGTCTCCCAGTAAAAAGAAAAGTTTATTAACTGCTATGTAATTTACTAGAAATTATCCTATTTAAAGAATGCACAAGGATGTCTTTTTATCCTCACCACCATTATCACCCAGCATACTCTACCCAGTTACACAAAACATATAGATCATAATCTCAATAATAACTGAATCAAAAATAGAAATCCCTCCAAGACCCCACATCCTCCCACCTTTTTCTGTTCAAATAGTGAAAACAAAATTTAGTCTGATTATCAGGCGTGTGTCTTGAATAAATGTTATCAAAGAGAGGTTTGTTATTAAAAGAGTGGGTGTGTTTGAAAAGCCCTGGTTTACAGCACTGTCAAGAAGAAAAATAATATATACATGGAAAATGTGGTGATAACTGTAGGCGTGATGACTGGACTTCAGTTTAGTGTGTATGTGTTACTGCTGTGGTCTTAAACCTATAAACTAACACTGGGTTAAAACTGGGAGACCATGGATCAGCATCAGAATTCTGTTAATGGTCAGCCGGTTTATTGCCGCAGCCCGACTGTTCAAATTAAACTTGTGCGTGATATAATTTCATGAACAGAACTACCCAGCATGAACGAACTATACGAGATGAATTGAGCCTGGATGGGTCATTATGTTGTATGGAGAGATGAGAGCTTGCAGATTTTCATTCCAGCTGACTCTAACCTTAAACTAGATGAATTTACTGACTCGAGGTGTGTTTGTCAGTGAAACTGTCTGCTGTGGTCCCGGCTGGAAGAAAACCTGCAGACTCTCTGCCCTCCACCACACAACTACTCATTCTGCCATAAATTGTTAGATTTTTACAACATCCATTACTTCATTTAGATTTAAAGAAACCAATTCTCTTAATTGTAAACTACAGAGAGCAGGGACAAATCAGTCTAACATAAATTAGTTAAGGGCTGTCTGTGAAAGCTTGTTCTGTTTAGTAAGCAAAGCAAATGCACTCATCTGCAGAATCTATTTTCTCTCATCATTCTCTTATCAGCTTTATAAGTGCAAATACATAAATCTAACCTAGAAGCACTAGAGAGGTATCCAAGGAAGAATACAAATGTCTCGAGTGCAGGTGTTGACTGTGTACTAGCTGTGATACTCTGTGGATCTTTAGACACGTGTTGAATACTTCATGTTACTTTTCTACTGCAGTGAAGAAGGTAGCAATGTCTTCTTTACTGAATTTTACAAATATTTCTTGGACTATTGTTTAATGATGTAACTGTATTCACTATGCAACAGTTTCTCCACTATTGAAGCTATGTAGGCCTTATACAGATATGTCATTTTCCCCTTAAGCTTATTGATGGATTTTTATTATTGATTTTTTTGGATTCTTGCACACGAAAATCTTTATTTTCTTTTTCATGGAGCTGGATAAAGTGAGATTCATTGAAGCTCTCTTGGACTCTAATAACATGCATGTTTTCTTCAGTGCCTTCCAGCGAGTGACGGCAATATGATTGGATGACTGTGTGATCCTCTCAGTATTAGTCTTCCTTCCTCCTAAAGCAGCCTGTATTCAGTGGATTGGGGCACTGTATTTCAAACTGGTTGTCTGTGTCCATAATGGAATGATTTTTGATCCTGTTTTAGGTTTTCAATGCACACAGCAGGGTTGTCCGGCATCACTTGCTGTTTTCATTTGAGCTCGAGATCCTGCCTGTGCAGCTCAAGCTAAGAAGGAAATTACTAGCGTAGACATTTGTGATTTCAACACCATGCCCTTAAACCTTAGACCTTTAAACAAAACATATTCTTTTAAGTTATCAAATTATAGATATTACAACCTGATATTCCATGCTGCATGCTATCATAATGATTTGGGCCTTTAGTCACTGATTATAAATCAGGTCACTCTCTTTCTCTTGGTTTTAGGAATTGAACCGTTTCTTTTGCAGGAGTATAAAACCTTTAATCATATAATGATGGCTGAAATGGCCATAAAATGGCTGATAATGTGTAATTTACTAAATAAAAAATTGGGTGCAACGCCAAATTTCTGTCTTATTTACAGTTGAAATTCATTCTGAAGTCTTTTTCCTTCAGAGGAAATGAAGTAAGGTCGATAACAAATTGAGGAGTGTGGCTGTTGAAAGTGGCACTGCCTCACCAGACAGCATCACCCCTATTAAAGCTCAATGGGAGAGAGATATCAGTGTGCACTTTACCACAGCCCAATAGAAGACTATTTTAAAAAGCACTTCACTTTTCACATTTTACCCTTTTTCTATTTCTGTAGAGCTGAATGAGGAGGGAATCTTTGATGCTGTATTGATGGTCAACTAGCTTATTGCTACAACTAACATTTTCAGTCAGACTTGTTTTAGTGCCTGTCAACTTCAAATGTACAAGAAGGATATAGCAGGAATGGGTCAACAAGTTTACACTAGATTGATTTATTGAGGCGATCTTCGTCTCCCTCTGGAAGCGTTGTAATCAATTAAATAATCTAGGCATGTCTTCAGACTCTCCTGCCTCCATATCTGCTGTACATTTTTACAATATCCTTTTCTGACGTCACAGAGTGAAGCAACTCGTTCTCATCTTGCAGTACAAATCTATATTAGTTACGTGCTGTGAAAGCTTGTACTGAAGAAAGCAAACCAGATGTACCACAACAAAAACTAATTTAAAATATCAATAGCAAAAACTGTTTTTCTCATCATTCTGTGAAGTACAAACACATTAACTCTCACCTACAGACAATACAAATGTATCAAATGCTGAATACAAATTTCTTGACTGCAGATTGACTGCTGACTAGTTTGTCTGTGTTTTTAAACGCTGCCTAGAATGCTTTCACGTTACCTTTCAGAGGAAAGAGGAAGAGCTCTCCCTCGGGGCCAAGGAAGGACGTGCCATCGTCACCGTCATGTTTGGTATTGTTATCTATGGAGGTGTTACCACCTAGAAACCAGGAGGGTAAACAAAGTTACAAATTCTCAGTACCATCCCTATATTAATTAACACATGGTATATTCTATGGGAATTGAACAAAAACATTTAAAAGCACATTTTATATATCAACCTAGACAGAAACACTTAAGGACAGCTATAATCCCAGTCAGGCTCACTGATCGTCCTCCATGTTTGTATCTACATATTTCACACTTTTTATCCTTGTGTGTCCCAGTGCATCCTAATCTAGCAGTTATTTGCATTATGCTTTCCAGCCTATTACTTGTTATTTATATTTCTTATTATTTATATTTGTTTCTTTTCATGCATTATGCTGTGTACTTCCCACTGCTGTTATGCCCCAGTTATCTACTGGAGATCATTAAAGTTTATCTTAAATTGCTCAATGATTTACTACAAAGAAACACAAGGTGTCATATTATAAAACTGTGTAGGATGTATGGTCTAATCCATGGACATGGACATGCAGCTGTTTCTAGGATTCAACCTAATCCCTGATCTATAAAATTTCACCCTGTCACATTCAGTATAAAGCACAAATGGCACTACAAGATTGGGGTCATACCTGACAGCTCAAGACAATTTATTTATTAAACAATGTCTGGCCATTCCAGAAAAAAGCCCTCTACCTCTGTAGCCTCCACCGCCGCCCCCGGACATACAGCCACCCCCGCCACCCCCGAAGCCGCCGTGGGTCTGCCAGAACTTTTGACAGGCCTGTCCTCCCTGACCTCCCAGCACCAGCGGTTTGCCACCCTGACTGATGGGAGCACTGTCGTTCCAACCTCCGCCTCCACCTGTCAACAAACACAACACAACCTTGCAATGATGTGGAGTTATGCAGCTCTGTGGGGAATCGGTGTGTGTGTGACAGAAGGAAAGAGAGAGAGTTCTGAAATGGGTCTAAGTTGTGTAAAAAGGATGCTTAACTGCAGGAATGCATTTGTATGTATATAGGCACACACACAGACACACACACTATATTCTCTCTCTCACACACACACACACACACATACACACACAGACACAGACACAGACACACAGCAATACCCCATTAGTGATAACGACACTGGTCCCCTTAAAAGAGACCTGGTAAAACAAGATTAAAGTTATAACTAATAAAGTTAAAACTAATCCCTCCCATACTCCCCAGCACTAGCCAATTTAATTTCCCCTTTCATTTTCCTTCTTCTTCTGTGAAGCCTGAGAGATACAAACAAACAAAAAACCCCACTTCTCACCACACTAGCAACAAAACCCCCCAGACATGCTGAATATTTCATTTTTCATTCACCGAGTTTCCTCAAAAGAAAACCCCTGGCTTTGTGAAGATGTAAAAATCAATATCTTATGTTTTCTGGGCTGCTCGTCAACTCCGAGCACATGAATAATGGAACTTGCAGTGAGCATGGATGTAGCAATACACTGGTAGAGCGAAGCATGTACTTGTGCCCAGCAATGACAGGGGACACAGTGCTCCATATGAATAATCATGAGAAGGGCCACACTGTGTTTTGTTTTTTGCCAAAACACAAACACACAGAGGTAGAAAAGTGTATGAAAGTCATGCATTAGGACAGAAGTAAACACCTCCAGGATAAATTGATGTGTTTACAAGTACAGGTAGACATGCAAATAAACACTTCCACTTTAGGCTTTCTGTAAACTGGGCTTATTACTTTGTGTACATGCAGGGGGGGAACATGAAGAATAGACACAGCTTTTCTCATCATAAAATGGTGAAAGATAAGCCACACACACTACAGTAGTGTAATGGGGTATTACTCATCTACTCTCATCTATTCAGTCATTTTATATCAACGTCTCAATATCTCATACACACCACGCAATGGGACTCTTTCACAAAGTGTGTACTCATAAATGTGTATAAGCGTTTTATGCATAAATCCGGGTATATATTTTCTAACCATGCATACATACATGATAAAGGTCCAGCTTACTTAGAACATGTAAATTAACACACACATCAAAGCTGTGTGTAGAATACCTGCAGCATTTGACTTCCCGTTGCGTCCCGGTTGGCTGGGATCATAGTCCCTCTGCTCCAGCTGGGTCTCTGATTGGCTGCTGTAGCCACGTCCACCTCCCCCAGCAGCAATGATGAGGGGGATGTACAGTCCTTTGTCCACCTGAGTCATTATTGTTTACAGTGAGATTTATGTAGTGCTATCTGCTCTTCAAAAGAATAGTTCAACATTTTGAGAGATATGCTCATTTGCTTTCTTGCCAAGAGGTAGATGAAAAGATTAACACCATCTCATGTTTGCATGGTAATTATAATGCTGGAGCCATCAGTTCTCCTAAGCAGAGCTAACTGGCTGCTGGCTGGCATGTGGAAGATTGGCCTGTTGGTCAGCTTATCTGTTCAGTGATGAGAGCAGTGACACCAAAATAACTTGTGTCCCTGGTAGATTTTCAGCTCCACTCTTTCATTATCATTGCTATAATGAGTGACAGCAAGCCACTAATATTAACTCAATGATATAAATTGTTTGAATGGTACATTGGGCTGACAATATTCCCATAACTGTGTTATATGTATACTGTTTAGCAACAGACAAACTGGACCGATATTCTTTACTTGAATGTCATACAAATCAAGATCTCTGTAAAACTATGTGCAGTTCCTGAATATCTGGTATAAAAATATCTCCCTGTCCACTGAGAGCATTATTCCCTCAGCACCTTCTTACCTTAAACACATACGTAGCCCCGCCACCTCCTCCTCCGCCCCCTTTCACTTGTGTTTTGTTCACCATCGGGCTGCTCTGTTCCAGGCAGATCTTATTCAGCATACCGTTGGACTGCGGGGAGGGAGAGAGATGTCAGTTCACACAAGAATTGTTTTCAGGGATGTCAGTTGTGTATGAGAAGGCTGAGCAGTTGCCAAACCCCAGCTGCTGTGAGTCGAAGGTTTTAGCATTATAATGGTGAGCAAATACCAAGCAGGAACGCAGGTACGCAGGAACTTACATGCGAGGGCCAAAGTTCCCCCTTATAAAGACAATTCCAGTGGGATTTAAGGTTACTGATTTCCTGTTTACACTCAGTTTTTACATGACTGTACATCTGTAGAACATGGCTGTATTAATAATTGTAGAACAGCTTCCTGCTCACACTGATGGGATGATATTACTGACTGAATAAGACATCTCTGGAGTTGGTTTATATTCAGTTTGAAGTTTAAGTGAAGTAAATGAGGCTGATAGGTGTGACAAAAACTAATTCAATATATATAGTGAATAGTTCATTATGTTGCACATAGAGATGTGAATAGAGATGGATTTTCTGGAGTTAGTGTGTTTTTCACCAAAATTAAACTAAATTCATGTTATATCCAATAACCTCACCATCAAACACACCTTTATTAAACCATCTTTATTACAGTACGTAATAATATATTCATGTTCCCATTACCCGGCCCGTAGGTGGCATTTTTACTGCTTACCAATAACAAAGGTCATCTTTGTTATCTTGTGTGTTTTTATTTGTCACTTGTCGCTGTTCCACTCTGTTTCCCAGAGATAAATCCTCTTTCTAAAAATGGAACTGGACGTTTTGTTGGCAAATGATGTGAGATGCAGGGATTTTGCCATAGCTGGGGTTTTGTGAATTGATGTGTCTGCCTTGTGTGTGCTATCATGCTGAACTGCCTGAAGCCAATCCTACTATGAGAACGAGAGGGCAGAAGTGTCCTCCCCTCACTCTGTCTCAACCTCACTCAGACACAGACACACTCTCACAGTCGCTCATTGCTCCCTCGACTCCCTCATCTATCTGAACCCAAGCTCTGAGGGGTGGGACTAGTCACTGTGATTGACAGCTAGAGGGGGTAAAAGGCAGTGCATTTAAATGTACTGGGAGAGTCTTCCTCACCCAGCCTGCTCTGTCATTGCAGCTTCTCACTTTAAAGTTGAGTTTCTGTCTGAGAGCAAAAAACAACAGAAAGGAGGTGTGTGTGTGTGTGTGTGTGTGTATCTGTGCACAGTAGAAAGAGAAAGACATGCACAGAGAGAGTGAGTATTTGTCAGGACAAGGGGGGTATCATTTCCGTCATCAGACTGCTCCCCAGCACAAATCACTTTCAGAGCGACCCTTTGGAGAGAGCTGCTGCCTCTTGCTGTCAGAACTGAGGGGAAATAAGAGGAACCTTAAATGACTTTCAGCCTCACTTTAGAACAGCCCAGTCCCTCTCTACTGTCTGTGCAGAGCACTTCAAGACATACAGGTAAAAACTAATAACTGGATGACAGTGGTGAGGACCGCTACCTGCTAAGCTACACGTTCTGCCTCTTGAAAATAAAGCCACAAAGCACAAGAGGCACTTGAACTGCCTCATGTCCAGGTATAACCACTGTAATACAAGGGAAGCTAAATCAACATTATCTTATAATTCACATGTAACTATTTACACTTCATCTAAAGGTTGTTTTGATTTTAATTTTAGCTTTTTACTGTTTTTTATTCTTTTATTTCTATGGTGTCTGTTCCTTGTTTAATGCTTTCTAATGCACTTGTCGTTTTGAGATAATTTCTCCAACCAGTTCATTAATTAAGCTGACCTTCCCCCAGTGACAATGTATTATCATTAAAGGATCAGTATGTAGGATTTAGAGGCATCTAGCAGTGAAGTTTCATATTTCAACTAATTGAGAAATGCTGGCATCTCTATTTGACGACTTCGTAATAAGAACGGGCTGCCGAGAGAATAGGAGACAGTACGGTGGCCGTGAAGCTTGTGAAAGGCCCTATCTATAGCCAGTGTTTAGTTTGTCCATTAAGGTTCAACAGGGTGGGCTCCATGGAAGGCAACCTGAAACGTCTGTAGATATAAATGGCTCATTCTATGGCAACAAAAACACAACGATTCTCATTTTCAGGTGATTTTACACTATCCATTCCTCCCAATAGATCCTTCTAAATGTCAGACACTAGACCTTTAATACTGTATATCATAAGGACATTAAAACACCAATGTAGGAATTCCACAAAAATAATTGAATTTTATAACTGTGTTTTGTCAAACATTTCAGAATCAGTTGTTATTTTCCTTCTCTAATAAAACATACAGTAAGTGCCAAAATTTGGCAACTAAGCCATTCCCCTCTATTTTCAGTAGCGGGACAGGCCTTAGTTTTCAAACGTTTAAATAATGGATGATGGATGGTGTCACTGGCGACTAGAGGGATTGTGGGGGTTTTAGTCTCAGTGTTGTGAACTGTGAGGGGAAGTAAGCTGCTCTGCTGCCAGTGAAGAAACTCCAGAGCATAATGGATGACAGCCACCCCTGGCAAAAGAACACAAGTAAACTTTAGAGAGACAATGGGGAGATCGCTGAAAGCTTCAACCGCAGATTTAAACAGTCGTTGGTCCCCATAAAACGTTACAATTTAGAGCACGGGTATCCAAAGTGAGGTCCAGGAACCCCCTCAGGGTCCATGGGGAGGATCACCGGATCATATCAAGGTCCAACTGAAATTAAATTGCATTTGTTTTTGTCGGCTACAACACACATAGTACCTGCTGTCAGCTGCTGTCAATCAAACACAGACAGGGGCTCGCCCATCCAGCTGGCTGAGGAAAAGGAGCCTTTCTGCTATTATCCCAAATAACTTTTAATAATAAAAGACTATTAACAATACATTTATAAAAAACAATAATCTTTTACTATATTGGCATCATTTCGAGAAAACAAACATGAGACAGACTTACATTGGGGCATGCATCCTCTCCTTGCTGTCCCACCAGGATGTAAAGCAGCTCGCCCTTCCTCAGTAGGAAGTCCCCTGTGATGTAGACACCATGTGACCTGCTCATGGCCATTACGCTTCGACCGCCAGCTGCGCCGTAGGCTGTGATCCTGGGGTTTAACAGAAACAAATATGTAGAGACACACACACAACACACTTGTTGGTGATGTTGGTTGAATTTTTCAGTGTTTCCATCTGGTTTGGAGGGGCTTATATGGACAAAGGTGTTTATTCTATATTCTAAGCTGTACAGCAGGTGTTTATCAGAGATAACCTGAAGCTGATAAACAGTCCCCGAGCATTCCTCCTGCGCAACATTAAATAAAACCAAAATTAATTAGGAATCACTATAACACTTTCACTTTCACCCTGGGTGTTTTTAATAAAAAATATTTTGACCTAGCATGGTAGACTGTTCTGAAGCACACACATACACAAAATCAGTGCATGGGCACACAGACACCTCTGTAGCAGAAGACTCTAATTTAAAATGCTCCAGTTTTCTTGCCAGGAAAAAAAAACAAAAAACAACTTGATTGGTTTTTGGGAGCGCTTCGATATTTCTCTTCCCTGGTGGTCGTGCTTGGTGGTGAGAGAGAGAGAGAACACTGCCCGGTGCTTAGTAGCTACCTCAGCTGTTTGCCTAATGACTTTTGGGAGATGCAGAGCGCATATTCATCTCTGTGGCCGTCTGTCAGCTTCATTTACAGGCTCTGCCAGCTAAACCAGGCCGCATCAAGACCACAAGTCTGGAGTTTGTGTGGAGACAGAAGGTGTTTTTCTAAAACTTTGGGACATGTGTTAAGATGGTTCTGTCCACGCTGTTGTTAGTTAGGTATTTTAAGACTCAAGGGTTGGCTGAGCTTGGCGGTATGTGTTTGTATGTCCCCGTTTGTTTTTGTGTTGATGTGGGAGGCCTGCAGCTTTCAGAGACATTTATGTTTGAACCGTCCAAGTCAAATCCAAGTTAAATGTCTCATGTTGTCATGAATGCCTACAGGAGGAATATTGATCTGTGCACAAGGTAGTGGATTTTACAGCATTAATCCAACAGCAGAATACAGTTTGAGGTCAAGGTGCTAAGGCTGATTGTTGCGGTATTGCAAAGGCCACCAACATAGCCATGGATGTGGGTAGGTTTTGAATTTTAGAGTCAGTGAATCATGCTATTTAGCTGCCATTACTCGAGCCTCTGCTCCCTCCTGCAAGAATCTGATAGTAATATTTCTCTGTTTGCTTGTGGAAGATTGATGCACTGCTGATGCACAGAGGAGTGGAGGTAGGCGTGAAGAAGAGTCTGCATTGTAGCGAAAAACACAGAGTGTGCTGATACCTAGGAAATAGAGGTTAACTGTGTATTGTATACTGTTTGCATGTAGAGTGTGCATGTGGCCAAGTGTATACGTACTTAATGATTGGCCCCGCAATCTACCGAGATACAACTGCTACAGAGTGGGTGTATATTAATGTTAAGGCTCTGAGGCCTTTGTACTTTGGCAACAGCCCTACCTGTAGGTGCCAGTTTCCTGGACCCGCCACATCTGAATGCCTTTGAAGGGCCCTCGGGTGCCTACTGTCACGTTGACGTTGCTGTTCCTGTAGGAGTTGAGGCACTGAGTGGGAGTTGGGCCTTCAGGTCCCACAGCCCCACAGGTATGAAAAATCCATTTTTTGGCTGCACATAAAGGTAAAGGAAAAAAACAGCACTTAATAGAGCACATAGCTGTAGAAGCACATATTCTGTATTCAGTCACACGTGCATTTAAGCAAACTTAAAGATGATAGAGAGGCTGAAATTCAGCGTGCACCACAGACTCATTACAGTTCAACATTCCCCAATGCTCCACTCTCACATCGATAAAACCCAAATATACAGACATGAAGAAAATTATTATACATAGGAAAGACTAGCTCCAAACTGGAAGCTACTCTAATGAGACGCTACTATCAGCATATTCACAACTGCAGCAGGGGACGTAGTGACAGGATCACAGGTGACAAACATTTCTCCTCATTTTCCCATGTAATCCCATGTGTCGGTGCTAATTGGAGTTCCTTTCACTGTAATTAGCACAAGATTAGTCTTGTCAGATGGACGTGGACGGACTTAACGCTGCAGTACTAAATCCTGATTTAAGGCTTGTGAACACAGAGCAGCGGGGAAGACACCAGGGAGTGAAGCACCTCTCTCAGTCTCTCTCTCTCTTCTTTCTTCCTCTGCCCGACTGTGGACGCTCTGAGACTACTTATCATTCATTTCAGATGCAAATCTGACACCAGTTAAAGTCAAAGTCATTCCTGCAACAGAACAACTCACATGATGGCTTTCATAGCCACGGAGTTGCAGCTCAATGTGACTGCAACACTGTGATTAGAGATTTAAAGAATAGGTGTTTTTATTCTTCACAAGACCAGATCCAGTAAACTGATTAAATGGTGTCACAGGAAAGAGAAGCCTCAGGAGTGCAACTTAAGCTTCTGATGCTCGCAATACAACACCTTTTGCTGTTCAAGTTGCCTGCTGTGTAGTGCCTATTAAAGTTGAAGCCAAGGAATTGAGACTCAGTATTTACAAGGATCTCTCGCCAAAATCAACACTTCCTGGCTAAGGAAAATAACTGCAGGAAGCTTGTATTTTTAGCTTGTGTGTACCTTTGTGTCTGTGTTTACCTATAAACAACAAAAATCAAAATATACACCATTTACTTAATAATAATAAGATTTGAGTTGATTTTGGAATGTAATGATTTTAAAGCCACACAAAAACATTCATGTTTGGGTTGCTGCCAGTTCAAAGCATGACTACTGCTCAAACCTGGATGAACTGCATGTCAGTCTCTCTACAAACATTTCTTTTGAGTTTGGTAAAGTGTTGCCAGCAGAGACCATTTCAAGGAGGCACTACTTTCAAAAACAATTTAAAACACCACTATAAGAGAGCGATTTGGAGTTGAACCTGGTCTTAGCAAGTGCACTCCTACTGTAAAAAACACATAGTTGTGGGGTGACTGGAGTTCTGTCTGGCTCCCATCCAGCAGGAGTAAATTGATCCCTCAAGTCAGTATTTTCAACACCCAACTAGGTAAAAAAAAAAAAAAAAAGAGTTAAGACTGCTGGAAATAAATCCATCACTGAAGAAGCAGAAAAGCCTCCAAAGCCAAACAGTGCTTTAGACGTACATCTTACCATGCTTAATGGGTTACACTGAGATGGCAATCAGTTAGGATAGGATATGCTAAAGAAAAAGGAGAAGTGAATTCTTGGCTTTTGCATATTAATAAAATCCTTGTTATGTAAAGTCAGCTTGACTTTTTGACATTAGATAGCCAAGCCTTCCGTACGATCTCTCTCCCATCTCCTGAGGGTGCGGTTGGTTTCACACTTAAACCCAGCTGATCGATCTTGTTGGTCCATCAATATGAGTGGGTTCTTATGCACACACACACACACACACACACGAATAACACAACCCAACTGGTGTAATGAGCCTGAAGTAATCTTTGATAGGCACTTGCCAGAACAAACAAAAACAAGATTTACTCTCGCAGATTATAGTATCTAATAAGTGGTGTGCACACTCGTCAGCACTTCTGACCTGCAACACACACACACACACTTATAAACACATACTGATGTGCATTTACACGTCCCTGAGGACACTCTGACTCTGCCTGACTATTATATGAATCTCCTTTTCTGCGAACTTTGCCACCAGTGGTATGCCACCATCATAACAAACACTGGCCTTCATCAAAGGAAGATGCTTTGTTGTACACTGATGTCAGTGAGGAATAAGAGAGAGAGAGAGACTCACAATTTAGAAAAATGTCTTATTGGATTGCAATACTGACAGCAATGCTCCAGCAGTCTTATTCTCCTCTGAGCATTATTAAAACAAGACAACAGTAAACATGTCATTCTTTATGAATAACAAAGGCAGTCTTTTAACAAGTAAACAAGCATTGCAGTTTTGGAATGAAGCAATATGAGCACACCTTTTTTTTTTTGTGAAAATTATTATATCTTGGTAAACGAAGGGATTTTGAAAAGAAGTCTGCGAGGAATACATTCTCTAATTGATCTTTTTGAATTTAGCGGTGGAATCGGGTTAAGCCTTTCTGTTCTCTAGTTGGAGAAACAAACATTCAGACAGACAGTAGTCCTGCATGAGGAAACTGAGCCCTCCTATTCATTTGAATGGAGCCAGTCCTTCAGCACAGAGGGGGAGCCAACGCATGGGGCTGCAACACCATGCCATGTCATCTACAAGGCACTGCAATACATGCAAGGGCAAAATCCTGGTTAATTACTTTAGCGTGAACAGCCTATTCCTGCTGTTGTTGTGACAAAAGATAATAATAACCAAAATACCTTTCTAGAGTTGTGAAACTCTCAGAGTATTAGAAACAACTGTACGGTGTTTTGGCATCTGACACACTTTCAACTCAGGGATCTGCTACTCGCTGTACGCACTGTATCTCACCAGTGTGCGGCAACATGCCTCCACCAATGCAGCTCGTTGTTTATAGCATTGTTTTAACGCAGGGTTTGAACACCCATCATCTTCCTACAAGTTTGCCAGAGAAAAGTCTAAACAACTCCTATATCTCTGAAGCACTTGTGCAACTGTTTTTTGGGGTTTACAGTATAAATAGCTCAGCTTTGTTATCACTCCTTTAAACAACATGTTATTTTAGCATAATCCACATATTTTTTTGATTGACATGACAAATGTTGAGTTAACTGCTCCCAACAGCCGCCACCGCAGCATCTGTGCTGGCTGTAAATGAGGAAGATGGGACATTCAGTCAGTAGAGAGTAAAATAACCATGCCACTCAAACAGAAAATGAAAAGACAATTCAATCAGATTATCAGGATATGATTTAGCCTCAATTTAACATGATTTACAAAACAAGCATTCTCAACAATAACTGTCAAATAAACGCTCTGAGTCAACATGTTATGCTTGTATTTATTCTAGTGTTGTCTGCACCACAATGAACACAATAAAAGCACAATAAACACATTTGATAACTCGTTGACTTCTCTATCTATCTATTAGAATTAGTATTAGTATCTATTAGACCTCTACAAAATTCCATATCAAAGTAGACTCATCATTCTGTGCTGCTTTGTTCTCTTAGCATGTAGTATATATAGCAGTATGCTCCTTATCCACTGACAGTTGTCCTCTTTGGGCTGGCCATTAGAAAGATGGATCAAGGCTGGCATGCCATGAATGGATTTGAATGCTAAGTACAAAGCTTATGGAGCACAAGAGTCCAATTAATTACAAACGCCTGTTTTGCGTGGCACTGCTCGTTATCAGTCTCATATCTGTCTTAGTGACTAATGTTCCCCCTCCAAAACCCAAAGTAACAACAACCAGCTAACTGATTGCCGCAGGACTGTGTTTATGAACAAGTAAAGAATGATGCACTGACTCACATCTCTACTCTGCTGCTAATTAGCGAGCATGTAATGGCCAATACTGCTTTCCTGCGTGGAGCGTTCAGGGACCAACATCTGCTGTCAGTTACTTTCAAGAGCCAATGGGATTGCTTCAATCACCATCCCTTCTGTCTTTGATTTGATGCCAGTTTTCATCTACTCCACAGAACTTGGGTTTTTTGTTGTTGTCTGTTGTGGTATGCGCAGAAGTGGAACACCTTGATATGAAAATGTGCTGTCTGTACAAAGGAGCTAATGTTTGTACCTCCTGCTATGCTTTTGCAGATAAGATGTAAATATGATATTTTCTTGCATCATGACAGTGTATTTTGTGAGGTTGTTTTATTGTCTTAAAAGAACCTGAACACTAATCTTAGTCAACACTAATCTTAGTCAATCACACACCCACACGCACACACTGTCATACAGTGAATGGCCAGAGAAAAATAAGCCCAGAGCTCATCCGGAGGTTAGTGACGCGTTCCTTTCCCATCAGGAGAGGTAATCACAGAAAGAAAGGGAAGCAAGCTCATCTAGGATGACTTTTTCACTTACCCCTCCAAAGCAACTGATGAGTCAGCAGTGAGAGGTGGGTGCCACACAGTAGGCCAGTGGTGAGAAATAAAAGTGACTGCTGCCAGAATAGTGGGAAATGAATGGAGATGAGGGGGAACGAACAAGAAGAACGAAAAGAATGAAGGTGAAGTCAGGGTGAAGGGAAAACAAGAGCAGGAGGAAGAAGTGGGACAACAGACTGAGATCAGAGGGAGCACTGACAGAAAGACACGACGGCTGGGTGGGAGGGCAGTAATGTGAACTAACAGACAGTCAATAACGGCTTTTAAATGGTAAAGATGTGAAACAAATGGAGAAACAAAAGAGAGCAAAATGTGCTAGGTCCAGATATGGTGGCAGAGTGAAGGGAAAGATGAAGGGGAGAGTGAGAGGAGACAAGACACGCTGACGTTGGTGGGGGTTAATCATTGAGCGTGTCGGGGGAAAAAGAGCCTTGTTGGAGTGACAGGTCTGCTGAGCTAAAACCCTCATCAGGCTTGCCGTCCTGCCCCGCAGACGTCAAAGCATGGGCTCCAGAAGGGGAGAAGGGAGACGCCTGGCGAATGTTAACCGCTCAAGGCTGTCTTTGAAATGGCCAAGGTATAACTGCAAGTTCAACTTCTTCCCCCCCGAGTTAATATCTATGATAATCACAAGGGCGAGAGCAGTGTGATCTCAAAGTCCCATCTTTCTCTGAGGAGATTTAAGTCTGCTGGCTTTATTGTAACCATAGCGAGTATTACCTGTGAAAGCACATTAAAATAACCTTTTTGTTGCTGCCCTTGCAGCTAAATCCTGGTAGCAAACGCCCCTATATGAAATACCCTTTGTATAATATTGTAAATGAAACATTTCCTCCAGTGCCATGTTTTCTGTAAAAGACTTTCTTGTTGGACTGAGTAGCCTTTGATTGCTGACTGACCACGCCTGTGGCTCAGGTTCAATACATAATGCTGTAACATGATCAAATCATGTTAGCTGGCTAAACATTAATGTCTGATCTTTTACTGTCCCTGTTTGACCCTCCAGAGACAAACAGAGCGCTCTGTGTTCAAGACTAAAGAGTGACCCACATCACAGACATTCACTCAGACAAGTCGCTGCACAAAGAGGTCCACAAATTAGCATATTAAGGTCCTGACACATTAAGCTGACTATTGGTCCATGTTGGTCTGCTGTTGAGCATTGTTGTTGTGGCTCACTATCACCCCTACTTTGCTGTCATCGTTTGCTGTTGCTGGTTATCAGTGGCTGTTGAGCATAAACATACTGTATATGTATAACCAGAAGCTAACACCAGTGCAAAACAAAGTAAAGCATCACAGTTTCTCAGACCTTTTGTCAAATTGTCTTCAGAGCATATAATTAAACATTATGATTAAAACAATGGCATAACAATACGGGGGCATAAAAAATACGGGTTAGTTCATTTTGTAGATCTTAGCATTATGTTCTTTGGATAACAAAATATATACAACTGACCAATAATTTTTTTCCTCATGTATGACAATGTATATTGGCCGTGGTACAACTTCATCAGTGAGACTTTTAGGGCCTGTAGAGTGTGAGTGTGATTCTTCTGACCAGTTTCAAATGGAAGGCGAGCCTCCCTAACCTCCAAATTGATTTGCTGGGCTTTAACAGCGTATGAATGCCATAAAAGCCTTTTACACCGTCAGGGAGAGAAAACAAGGTATAGATGAATGCAATCACAATCCTGGAGTGTGCGAACACTGTCAAGACCAATCATCTGTTTGGAATGGAAAACTGCAAAGTCAAAGACAAAGTTCACATTCATTCAACATTTGTATGAGTGCTATGGCACTATACGCTTAGCAGCAACATAACTCTGGGAAAAAGAAGTGTCTGTTTAAAAAAGAATGTATGCCTCTCAAAAGATAGAGCGTACACAGAGTAACTCTAAAATGATAGTGGCTGATATCTTTCAGCAAAGAGGCTTCAACAAGTACAATGTAATTCTAGCTTTTTTAAAGCTAATAGCTAAGGAATGTGTTTAAGAGCAGGTCTGATATGAAAGTAACTTATGACTTTAAACATAGAAATTGAATCTCTGCTTGTCTTTACCCTTTTGAAGCAGAGAAGTGAGAGCGTTAGGTGGAAAATGTCAAGTCTGTGTAAGTGGCTCCATTGACATTCTCAGGAGACAAATTGAAGGATTTTACACTTCACAACTGCCCGTCCTGCTTCATTTAATGCCAAAGGAGATCCGTGCAGCACTCACTCAGATGTGAACATGGTGCACACCAGTAGGGGGCACACTTACTTTGTTGCAGCCCATGTTCTGCACATGTAGAGTAATTGTGAATCATTAATGCATGCAAGCATTGTGTGTGTGTGTGTGCATGATTTGTGAGCAAAGGAGAGTGCAAAGAGAAACAGACACAGAAAATGTGCGTGTGGAGAATATTCTCTTAAATACACACTTACACAGAGGGCTTCCATTGGACGGGGGCGTCATCTTGGTTGTGCTGGTGATCACTGGTGGAAACTCGCCGTTAGCTGGAATGAAACAAAATGCATTTATTAAAAGGCTCTACTACTGAAATGCTGTTGCTTTTACACAGAAGAACTAGAGGATCTAAGCACAGTAGCTGCAGACCCCTCACTGGCACAGAAAACCTGGAACCACCAGCAGGGGTCATTCTTTCATTTGTACCACCAATGGCTACATGGAGGGAGTGGAATTCATAACATCCAGCTCCTCTCCATCTCTCCCCATCTCTGTTCATTCCTACAGTAGATGGGTAAGCACATTCAGTCAGAGTGTTTTGTAGCAATCCATCAGGCCTCCAGCCTCACTCCTTTCCCAGGACTGATATCATAAGCTCCCTGGTACCTTGATCTCTTCCCCTCAAATTCTCACCCAGAATTAAGTCTTCCAGGCAAATGGTCTGGCTGATTGGCTATTACGGTTCAAGATAGAGGAACTTCTAAAGATGTTAAAGTAGGAGAGATTCATTTCAACTACTGTAATGGTTGGACGCTGACCTGGAAAAGCTAGTCATCCGTTCCCGTTCTCTAGTTTTCAGTATAGGTGAAGAAACAGTTCCCTTGGTTGCTTGACTGAATCACTGAACAGATGAATCAATTTCTTTGATTAGGGTCCATGCACTCCAATCAGTGGTATAAAAGATTGGCCTGAATGGTGTTAAAGAAAGCTGCTGCCATCTGATGAGGGACTGCACAGACTACAAGAACAATCAATGCAACCCTGGCAGCTGAAAATAACAAAATACTTTTCAAGTGTTTACTTGAGGAAGTGCTGAAATGACAAAATCAATGTCCAAGAACAGCATTACAGGAACAAATACATTACAATTAAAATAATTATTTGCAAATAAACAGTCACTGAAGACATTGCAGCGTCTGTTCCATTTCCTGTGAAATGTTGACAGTTCTTCCTACCAACTCAGCCAAGGTTTGACTTTCTTATTTTCAGAGCTTAGATACAATGTTCAGCTTAGCTGCTATACATGTGTCTATGACTTTAACTCTGTTTCCAAAGAATGTTTTGTTGAAGAGTTGTGTCCAGCATCTCATTTCTTTGATGTAATGTTCTGTAGAAAAATCCTTTTGTGCCTCTGTTGCGAGAAGACCCTTGTTGTGAAAGCACAAGACTTTTGTACAAGCGAGATTATTTCAAAGAAGTCAGATAAGGTTCACTGTGGTTTGTGAAGCTGATAACGCTGCCGTCATGCAGTGCTATGACACCAAACAAGTCCGTGGGTTCAGATCTTGACCTGCTGCTATTCTTCTAGTCCTGTCTCTAATTTATAACTTTTACAACCAAGCTGGATACAGTATATGCCACCCAAGCCTTCCTAGTCAGCTTGAGAACAATAGAAATCATTGCTGTTTCACTCAGACTGCCACAATGGTTCAGTCTATCAACATAATTATATATGCACATTCCTTATATACAAACAATGCATTGAAAATAAAACTATGTGCATATGACCCGCATATTGAGCTCTATTTCTGTTCTGCATATGGAATAGGCTGTTGAGAGGACGATTACATGGTTTCAGGGCCTATTTGCATTTCACAGCAAGAGAAAATAGAAGGTTTCTAGTTGTAGACCGGCCTGCCTTGTAGAGCAGCAGAATAGCACACAGTTTGTTTACACTGTAGCTGCCTGATATTCTTCATAGGGTCGCCCTGGATGGCACACAGCAGCAAAGGATGATTTAAAGGTTTCATGAGGGTATTTTCTTTCACTTGCTTTGCTTCTCTAAGCCACAAACACTAGAGTAAAAAGTTGCAGTTCCAGATAACACCAACAACCCACTGATGAGCAAGTTGTGTTTCCAAACTTAGAAAAAAAAAATCACACAAGCTAAATATCAAGCAGAAATCCAAATACTAGTTTCCTAATTGTGACGAGCCAATGAGTTGCTCACATAGTGTCATTCGCCTCCTTGGTGGAAACAAATCATGCCTGCTTTCCCTGCCATCATTCTGGGGGTGTCAGGGGACAAAAACAAGACTTTTCATCTTTATCTCTATAATCATTTTACCACAAAAACACTCCCTCTTCTCCATCCTGGCTCCCCTGTCACCCCAGGCTGGAGGCACACCGTTTATGACAATATGGCAGGGGGCTCCCTCAACAGCTGAAAGTTTTGGAAAGCTACTGTGTGGCACTGTTCCATTTGGTCCAGGAAAACCTGCTTTGACTTAGGATCTAACAACTTTACATTAATATTATTTGTGCTTGAGTTGAAAGTACACCTATGGTCCTCTGGGTGGTATATATCATTAAAGGGAATCAAAATTCTTTAGATGGTGGTCTCTGCTGGAACTTTCTCTGAGGAGAGAAATCTTGTAATTTTGGCTTCAAAGCTTTAAAAAAAAAGTTCAGCACTGCTTACCTAAAATCTGCCAGCTAGAAAATCAATAGCTCATTCCGTAGCCCTGTAATCCGCAAATAAATATGATCGCCTAAAACTCCAGTGCTTGGGAGCTTTGATACAGATAGAGTTTACGTGCAGATTTGATGGATCACATACAGCACGCGTATGACCACAATATGTTTGATTGTTTGTGCAAGTACTCTACATAACACACTCTCTGTAAGTAAGACCCTTAGTTGTGTTACGTGTACACACAAGAAGTTCAGCAACTTTTTATATCTTCAACAAAGTCGCTAATAAGACTCACTATATTGTTATTCTGAGCATGGGGTAACACGCTACAGCAGGGCTATGAACAGACAGAGCTGGAGCACACAGCATTGGTATGCTGCTGCTGAAGCAGGTGAAGGACTCAGCAGGTCCACCACAGAGCAGCATGAACCAGAGGGCAGGGCAACAGCCGGCGTGGCTGTCACTGTTCATTAGCAGGGCGCCGTAAGCTGCCTGAAGCCCACCAGAGGCCAGCCACGGGGGAGGGGGGCACCTCAATTCCACCCAAAATATTTCGAGATTGCAATAGCTCTAAGAAATATCCACACTACAGACATGTCATGCTAACAGTCAGTTAGTCCTTATGGAAACTTGGGGTTAAAAAGCAGGCCTGGGATGTAGCATATTTAGAAAATGTATGTACCGGTCTCAAATTTCTCAAATTTAGGAGAACATACTTTATTCTTGGATTCCTAATCTGTTAACTTGCATATACAGCCTCTGTCTTTGTGTCTGAATCTAAAGGAGGCTGATATACCTGGGAGAGACCACATTTGACTTCTTTTAATTAGCCCTAATGTACTGTATATGTCATCACTGTGAATACAGTGAAGACTGTAGAGCAGCTGTACTTACTGGTCCATGGTGTGTCTCCATGTTTCTCAACACCCACAGGTGCAGGTGATAATTACTGAAACCTGTACATTTCGCTAATCTGTAGTTGTATTACACGAGTTGCCACGGCAGATAACACAGACAGAACAGCCAACCAACCCATCAGCACATAACTGGAATAGAAAAACTAACTGTATGGCTGAATAGTGAACAGGATGTTTTCATAATGCCTGTAGCCCAACAAATCCAATTATTTCCATCCAAATCAAAATTTTTGCAATAGTAAACCTTTTGAGGATCCTTGAATAGACTTTCCATTGATGTCAAGGACCAGCTACCAAAGAAGCAAATTCCCAGTGTGATGACGAGGAGTCTCTATTAAGGCAGCTCCCATCAGCTGGTCTGATTGATAGATGATAAAATGTGACTGTGTGGAGTGTGGCTGCAGGTAATGGATACCTGGCCTAGATTAAGAACATGCCATCTGGAAAGTGAGCAAAGCGGCGATAGATGATCCTTCAGCGCTGCCATACCAGTGTGGCTGCTCCGGAGTACATAGAACACAATTGGTGTGCAAATATCTCCTGGAAAATGTCATCTCTTTAAATAAAGAGTCGCTGAGCCAATAAGCCAGTGTTGATACGGACAATAGTGACTGCTCTGGCTTAGAGCAATAGAAATTTCTCTCTCATCATTTTCAGCTGATGAAGTCATGTTAACTGATTGCATTTTACAATTAGAGCAATAAAGTTCAGATTATATTTGTGGTTGGTGAATAAATTCAGCAAAAATGTAATCCAAAAGTGAATATAAAATAAATTAGTCACATTCATCACCATTCCCATAGTACATTTGAATGAAAACTGGTATCTAAACAATGTGTTTTAATTGCTCTAATTAATCACAACTCAACAGTTTTCAACATGTTATCTTGAATTTACCATTTGCAGTAATGACACCAAGACATTCTCACCGTAGACCACATAACTTGTCAGGGTCAGTTTTCTAATCCAACCAGCATCACAATGCATCAAATTAAAGCAGGAAGAAAATAATCAGACTGTGTCAGAGGGTGAGGCCCCTGCCTCTTGGCCAGAGTGTAGTCAGTTTAACACAGCTTCATTTCAACACTGGTCTCATTGTCAGAGCTATATTCAGGTACAGAGATGCTCAGACATTATTATTCCCGTCACAGTTCAAACAGGTTTCTCCAGATAGGCAGAGATGGAGGCATGCACTGAACTCCTAACCTTTCATTCTCCTGATGCCAGACTCGGTTGTCATCTTACTCCTGTTTTTATACTGATAAACCATCTCAATTATAACACAAAAATATCCAGAGAGGTGACGTGAGTTTTGACCTTTATGAGCCCGCAATACAACATTGGAACATAAGCCCTTATCAATCAGCAAACTATATTATGACAGATTTGAACTGTTCTGACATTTCAGGATCCATCAAACGTTCTCAAACAGTGTGCTAAAGGAATGTAATAACACATGCAGATATCCGTTCCATAAGGTTTTGTCAATGTATCTCTACGAAAAGCTGCAACACCTTCAATAAAAGATATTATTTCTAAGAGAGTAGATGTTTAAAGGACTTGCTAGGATTTTTACAATTTATTTTAGTTGTGTGGATGGAGAATTGTTTGGAGAATTTCAAGGGTATTGAAGTGAATAAATCATGGTAAAGTTAACGTCATTGTTGAATGCTTCAAAGTCTACAAAACTGCCACTCAGTCAAATAATTTCTCTGTAAAACATGAACAAAGGGCAGACCTGTATTGATTATGAAATTAATTGTTTTTCCCCCTTTGTGCTTGTCACGGTCAATCAATCAACCAATCGGTCAAATAACTCTCATTGATTCAACTGAGGTCTGATGAAGTGAGAGTGGAAAAAGAAAGACTCAAGACATTTTATAGTACTCACATGCCAGGAAGCAGTCCATACTAAAAGAGATATTGTCAAGAGAGATGGCTGAACCGCGTCCAGGTCCATCTTCTGTGCTGAACTGCAGCCAGAACCTGTGGAGAGACAGAGCTGTTTTAACTACCTCACAACCTGTGAATGGTTGGATAGCCTCTGACTGAAATGATGTAAGGAAGAATGTATTGTGCTTAAGAAAAAAAGTGAGATTTGGCTTTTGAAGGTGTATATTGTATGCCTTATGACAGCTCAGTCTGTATTGTTGTTCATTCTTTCAGCAGATACAAAAAAATATGCTTATCTACTTAGATTAAAGTATTGATACTACTCTAATGCCTGTACTGTAAATATGAAGCAGTAGCAGTTTGTAGCTTAGCATAAAGACTAGCCTGGCTTTATGCAAAAATACAAAATCCACATACCAGCCTCTCTAAAGCTCACTAATTAACACATTATTTGATAATCTTAAAACCAAAGGGTAAAAACAAAAATGTGCTATTTTCCAGGGTTGACATGAGTGGTATTGATCTTCTCATTTACCTCTCAGGCAAGGAAGCAATTAAGCATTTTTCCCAAAATGTCAAACTGTTTTATTATGTACTGTGGAAGAAAACTGTAAATGTTTTTGTGGTTGCAGAGTTGGATGTGTATCTCATCATCCTGTTTATTGATTAGTTTTACATGTTTTAGCTTTAATAGTGACGTTCACAAGAAGCTATTGTCTGTGGCTGTCTGTGGCTGCAACTATCAGTATCATAACCTACAGTGAACATTACTTCTGATTAAAAAGGCATTCCTCTTCTACACCATCAGCATCGTTCCTACTCTTTTTATGAAGGACCCTTCCAGGCCTAGTATTGACACACTGAACTTCTGTTTTATTCCTCCTTGTTTAATGAATTCCACGTTAGTTTGCAGATTTTTCTTCTGCAAACTCTCCAGTGAACTGACTACAGTTTAATACAGTTTTCCTCTCACCGTAACATTAATGTGGCCACAGCCCATAAGTAACAGTAACAGTTAAGTAGAATTTATTCTAATTTTCAGAGAATTCATCTTCTCACTTATTAGCCCATTAAAAGAAGAAGTGTTCGTTGCACGTACAATTAACAGTGCTGTGAAGTGTCAACCGCTGAGTTTCAAATTAAATACGAAGGCAATCTGAGGCGTAGATCTGAGTAAAGGGCTAAAGTACAATTAAAGGTTTCCAGGACAACAGAGATTATTTCCAGGAACCCTAAATTTCGAGATTTTCCAGGTTATTCAGATTTGTATCTGTCAGTTTTATAATTTAATGTGTCAATTGTTACATAAACCTAATGGCAGTCCTACTGTACCTCCATTCTTGTTGTCAACCCACAGGTCCTCAAAGCAAACAACACTCACATTCAGAGTCTACATATACTGTCTGTTATGTCCTGACTTTTGTCTGCACTTCAGGCTGTATTTCTGATTCTATTTAAGCTCTACAAAGGTCACTGTGCAAAGAGTGGCAGGTTCACCTAGTGGTTACGGACATGACATTCTAATTAAGAGCACAAGCACAGCTGACTACATAACCCAGGAATAAAAAATTAATCACTCTCAGGGGAGCAGGATTATCCAAGCTTGAATGGCAAAGAAACCCCCAGTCAGGCAAACAGAGATGAACCGCTTTATCTGGAGTTTCTCTTTCTTCTTGCTTTATTCTATTTTGTTTGCATTTCTCTCTTTTTGGGGGGAAATCAGGCTGTAACTAATTGGAAGGCGAGTAGGTTGGGTAGAGCCTTGTGTATTGATTTCTACTCTCTTTATCACAGACAAGTGGGATAAAAAAAGAGGGGGGGCTGTTTTATACAACTGTACACATGGCAGGTCCATGGCATAAAACTAGAGCCCCTATGGGATTCATTAATTTTGTGGAGTTGAGAGGAAATGTTTCCCAGAAAATGGAATGTAAATGTTGAAATTCTGCATTTATGAGAGGTGGAAATAAGGAAGAGGAGTTTCATGGTTCTGTTTCCTAAGACTTTCTTTGCTGTGAGAGCACTTAAGTATCTGTCTGAGTGTGTCGGAGGATTAGAGTTGGATGACTTGTTTGCTCTTTAACACTTCAAAGTACCAGTTTGATGCTTTCAGACAATCCAAACATGGAGCTTGATATAATCAAACTTCCTGTTGATGTAGTGAAAAAGGTAAGGGTTTGTCGTACCAGTCTGCCAGTCCATAAAGGGGAAGTACGATGAATTTCCATCCCCTTTCAGATTTGGGTTCACTGGCTGAATGCCACAGTCTGCGCTGCTCCTCAGGGCCTGTACTGTTCTCCACTATCCATAAAGACAGTGACCCCTTCTGTAAGCCTCCAGAACACATCCAGAATCGCACCTGTTGAAGGTGGAATTTTGAGTTAACAAAATGCAGTAAAGGTGAGCACAATGTTAGAGTGTTGAATTTTGAGGTATGTGCTGACAGATAATGTGTGTAAGTATATGAAACCAGATAGCAATTTTAAATTCCTTTGAATATTTTTGAATAGATGAAAAATCAACCAAGTGTGTGATCAGACAAGGAAGGGATTTATTTAAAATTGCAGAGATTAATCAGCAACAGCCATCTTTTCTGTTCTAACTATTCTAAGATTAATAGAATTCAACCAGTATGATAATTGTGGTTATTTTGCTATCTGTGCTGCTCCTACATGCTTCAGCACAAATCAATCTCATTTTGCTGTTTCCAGGAAGGATATGGTAGGAGAAAACCTGGACACACAACACACAGACCATCGCAGGGATTAAATAGTAAAAGGAAGTCTTAATCCAAAGCTTGCTAACAAGCATAGGATGTGACCATGTCCCTCTGCAGCATTTTATTGAAGCCAAGAACATAATTCTCACTTCACCATTTAAGTGGAACAGATGCTGGCTTAAGCCTGATGAAAAGTACACGTAGAGACGACACAACCCAGACAACTGAATTCAACACTTTTAATGCCGAGTGCTTGCATTGTGCTTGTCGATAGCAGGTTGTGGTCCTTATCGTCAGCGAGACCACATGGTGACCGTTTAAACATCAAGATTACAGGCACTGCACAGTGCACACTGGGCACGACATGAAAGCGAACGTGGTATGTAGCTAATACCCAAAACTAATATCCTCAACATAGTTGTCCAAGAGCAGACAGGCTAGATTGAACAGCACCAGTTCAGTGTAGAGAGAAGGATTTAGAGTGTTAATCTGGAATCATGGCTAATCTTTGGCTGTGTGCCAAGGAGCTGGGAGGCAGGGTCTGCATCGGGATAGTACTGCCTCCACTGCTCTTCTCTAATTCACACCTGAGCAGCAGCAGGCTTCTCCTCCTACACTCTTATCCCTTTCTTTTTTGCTTATCTGCTCATCTTCTCTGTCCTCCTTGTGGCCATTTCCTTCGTGTGTTTTTCTTGTCGAGACTGACTTCATTTCTCCTCCGTCTTCCTTATTATCTTGTTTTTTGACCTCTTGAACTTTGGATCACAGACCCACCTCCATCCCTCGCTTCTGTCTCAGCTTCTCTCACCTCAAGACACTCCTTGCCTCCACAAAGTACACATGCAGAAGGCCAAAGGTCACTGTGCTGAGCAATATTAAAATAACTAACATAACTCTAAATGCTAGATGCAACAGCATCAATCAAGACTTCAAGTACACAACCCCCCGAGACCTGCTCTGTGAGCATCATGATCTGAATAATGCATGACTTCTAATATTTTTCCAAATAGGTCAGTAGATACAAACTGTGATTGACGAGGTCAACCTCACTGTCTGTTGGGATCTTTCAGCAAATACAGGTCGCACAGTGTTAACCTGCCGTCTTGGGACATTACTGTTTGAATTTTGAGCTGTTCCTGAAGAAATTAGCATACGAAATTAAGAAAGTTTACTACTGCTTCAGCAACCAAACAAAAAGTTTTACTGAGGAGCATCTTGGTAGCCAAATGGTTATAGCACATCCCACACGGCTACATGGCTGCAACCATCTCTGGTTCAACTAGCCGGTGACCTTTGCTGCATGTCACACCCCTCTCTTTCCCCCATTTGGTCTCCGTCTCTGTCCCTATCCTATTAAGGCATGTTAAGGCAAAATGGCCAAAATAATCTTTAAAAAAAATAATAATGCAAAATGTCAACACATAGCTTATGGTACATTTCAAATACAATAACGATCTAATATTTTTAATATTTGCTGTTTATTAGTAAAGTGGCAAATTAAACTGCGCATGTGTATTTGCTGGTGACTAGGGGAGCATATTGTACAGAAATCCAAAACTTGGCTGGCCTGTCACTGTTCAGGCAAGAGTCAGTTGAGCACACATATTTAGACATATTCAGACAACTTTATGCGATATAAAACTATAAATTATAAAAGTTTTTCTATGGTAACCATTTAAACGGAGAGTCCTAGCATCAGCATTTGCAAGCTAACTATAAAATAGCCAACCAGAGCTGTAATTTCAGTCGAGAAAATCCAGGTCATCAAATAGAAATGAGAAGACTGCTTATATCTATTGCTGTGTGAAATCAAGACCCATTGTTTCAAAAATTACTGTGAATTTAGAGGGGCAAGTCTGACACGTTATCATTGAAAACTGCATGTGTGCTGTGAGATGACAGACAGCTTAATAGATAGCAACAGCAACTAAGGGGGGTACAGCTGAGTGAAATGTCAATTGTGCACATCTGAGCTGCGTTTTTAGGTGTATGTCTGAGAATTAGACGTTGCTTCCAGACATACACAATCTGATAGTGTGGAGAAAACACACTATAGGCCTACTTTACTCACAGTGCACGGGGAGTTTCTTAGAGGAGGAGGAAAGAGAGGACTCCTCAGTAATGCTGAGCCACGCTGGCCTTTGGACTGGCCTTCCACAGTGAATGTAGCACCTTTAACAAACACACACACACATTTAACACAGAGAAAAAAAAAGTGTCAGAATGAAACTTGTTACAATAAAAAATATAGGATATAACACTGAATAAAAAGTCTTACAATATATATGGAGGTTTTGAAATATCACTGTAGCCAAAGTGAGCTGTTGGCATATTTGATCTTCCTTTGCTCTACTTTGATGCATAACTTAACTGATCTAACTGAAGGTTTTTCAATGAATTCCCTAAGAACAATGTTTGACAAAAGCACAGTTCTACAGAGTGACAGCATTGAACAATACAGTTAACTTTGGTTATCCATCATGAGAAGAAAATCATATATAAAATCACCAAATATGGTCTAAAATTACAATGCTCCATTTATAGGTTCCCCAGACTACCTCTGAGACTTCTGTAAATAGTTGCGAACAAAAACAAGCCTCTGCAAACCAAGGCTTTAAAATCTCATCACACTCGAGTCACTGCACTGGCAATGAACTGCAGATGTAGGACTAGCATGGAGTTTACGTGCTGCAGCTTTTACACCCAGTGGGATTCTGTTTGTAGCACTCTGAGCTCTGAACAAGACAACATGTCTGAGTCTGACACATCAGAGATTTTAGTTATCTTTCCACATTCACAATCTCTTAGACTCAAGGTCATTGGTTTAAAATCCCCAAGTCTAATAAGACATTAACACTTCTGTATACCAACTTAAGAAGTCCTAAAAATATGGCACTTAATCATTTGATTAAAACAGTGTTATCATAAGAGACATGCATGAGCCACCTGATGACGGGCAGCCCTGTCTGGTAGCCTTGGCTGGTGACTGGAGTCTTCTCCAGTAGAGGCTGCGGCCAGTTATTGACTGCCAACTGCACTCGCCCTCTTCAAAAGAGCAGTAGCTGCCATTGAGAAAATGACCTGAAGAGATACAGGAGAGAGAATATATCAGGGGAGGAGAGGAAAAGATGATAAGGAGGGGGAGGAGGCGGGGAGGCATATAATGAGTAGACAGGCCCGGCAGGGGGGCTAGAGAAGAGAGAATGGAGTGAACACTGACTGCCAAACTGCCAGGGAGAAAAAAGACAGGGGTGAGGTGGGGACTGGGGATCAAGGTGTTGAGCGACAGTGAAGTCAAAGAGGTTGGGAGGAGAGAGGCATGCAGGGGGTGGAAGACTAATGGCTCACAGGACTAAATGTGTTGGCGAAAATTAGGGTTGAGGTGCGGTGATGATGGTGGTGGGCACTCAGAGTGACTCTAGAAACAGAAGCAGAAAATGGAAAAGGCCTGAAGTGTCTGGAGGGAGAGATAGGACAGAGTAGAGGAACAAGGAAGAGGGTCTGGGGGGAAATGAGAAAGCTGAGGTGGTGACATGATGTGTTTTGGGGGTGGCAATCAACTTGAAATCACTTCACAGAATGGCATGAGCCTCAGAAACATTTTTACTGCTGACTACAATTTACAAAGTTAGTGTGTACAGCAGCAGTACAGTGAAAATGGTTAATTGGATTGTGTAGTGCTTGTGTAACCACAAAAAGAGATAGGCATGTCTGTGTGGTCGCTCTCCTTATTTCCACAGTGTTGTTTAAAGAAAAGTGCAAATTCCTTGATTTGCAAACAAGGTTTCTCCTTTTATGTTTGGTTAAGTAACTGACAGAATAAATCAAATACAACTTAGGTAGTGCAAATATTTAAACACCAATTATTTTGCAAAAGGCACATTTTCTGACTGAATTTTTCACTTTCAGCACTATTTTCCGGTCTATCAACACTTACAGATAACAGCTGTGTATATATGTATAGGGCTCTACATTTTTTAAAATTAATGTCACTGAATCATTTCCAAGGTGCTAAAGTGACAAAACTTGAAATAACTGCCATATAAATAAATAAAATAACATGGATGGAAGTGTGCCAATTACTTATTACAGTGCTAAAGTTCAAATCAGAAAAACATAGCTACTCTAGACTACATTTTTAAGGACTAAAATGAGGCAAAAATTTGACTTTCTTTTACCTTGCTGTGATGGTGATCTACTGACTATTCGTTATTAACAGGGATGTGTTTGGACCTTTTTCACAGCAGCCATTATAACATGAAATAGTAGGGTAAATGCAGGTGTTACCAATGACATTAAAGTTCTGGTCCATGCAGGTTAAACAGAGTCAGGGTGCTGCTATGATCAGTAACATCTATGTTACCTTACAATTTCATGTCAAAATGACAAAAAAGGTCTATTGGAAAGAATCTAGTGATACAATATGTATCACAGCACAGGAGTTACAGTTTTTTAAAATGTGATTTTGGTATAAAGAACACACCACCTTATGCATAAAATAAGTTTTAAAAACAAATTTCAATGCAACAACCACAGTGGGATCTCCACTTGTATTTATCACTGTCCCTGTAACATCATAGTCCTTAGTTTACATTAACACTGCTCTTAATCAAAAAAATCAATGATATTGATAGAATTGAAAATAAACGTGCAATGCTCCAGTGTATTGATAGTTTTCAAGATTTTAAGTGTTTCTGAATGTTTAAAATTCTTTCAGACTTAAAACTTCATTGGATAGTTAGTGATGATAACACAGAGGCAGGTGTGACTTTTATTTCAGTATTTCAAAGTTCTCACCTTAAGTTTGCTTTATGTTCCCAAGCTACCGTCTGTGAGTGCCCATTACCTATAAGAATCAGTGAGTGCCCTGATAACAGTGTGCTTTTTGGAAATGGGATCATCCAGATAATGGGACTGAAACTGGCCTGAGCAGAGATCATAAAGCAAGCATGGAAGAAAAGCAAGAAAAATGCTTCCTTTATCAATGACACTAGTTTTAAAAGTTTTTAGTATAGCATACAAAAGGCTTTTCAGGTTTCACACTCCCAAAGTCATGAAAGTAACACCATTACATTTTTATTTTAAAGTGATATAAAGTAAACACCAAAATTGATGTTTTCTTGTGATGTTTTTGGAAAGCAAATAAAAGCTTCTCTGGACTTTTCGTGTAATAAGTAAATTTCATGTTCTTCTGTGTCTTTTGACATTATGCGTCACTCTCCTTGTTACATAAACCAGTTAGTGTCACTTAGATGTTCTTCAATCAAAGCACAGAGATTCAAAGTCACATCATATGATAGCTGCTCATGACATGAATAAAGAAGTTTGTAATAGATAGATAGATGGATAGATACTTTATTTATCCTGAGGGAAATTCAATGATGTCGCATCCGACTTTGTGCCTTTTTCTACCCTATCTATCCTTCGTAAGTGTTTGCTATCCATCTTTGTCTTGACCCTAGAATGGATTCAACCCAAAACACTTTATTTAATGAGGTGTGAATAAGGCTAACTTAACTGTGCCATTACTATTTTATGAAAACTGACACGAACCTTACTGAATTGTTATGAATGTTGAATGTCATTCTATTATACATGTCACTTTCAATGCAATGTCGTCAGTACTCTACTGATGTCTGTCATGACAACTTGACACAGCCTATAAAAAAATGCCATGGCAGGCTCCATAAGATAAAGTGTGATTATTACTCTAGCATGCTCTTATGATGTGTAATGAATAATTCCTTTACATCATATAAAGTGATAGAGATCATGTAGATATAATAAACACTCAACAGTAATTACAGTGTTTTAACAGTGAAATCATTACAGTTACAGTTGTAAGTCTGTCTGTGCATGTTTGGGACTAGTTTGGAATCAACTAAAGAGGGACATGATAGCATTGGCCTCATTGTGTTATAAATGGAGCAATGATCTATTTTCACTGATGATGAAAAAATAATCTTGCTGATTACTACTTTAAAGTCCTGCTTACAACCAACACATTTCTCTGTAGTTGTAGGGGAACTGTACGTTGGAAAGTTGTGGGGTGCCTGCAGAATTTAGACCGACTAAGATCTACCAGAGGAAGCTGTGACTCTCAAAGAGTGAAGGATGCGTTTATGCATAATGATGCTTGGGTAGGATGGTGAGGGAAATCCACAGGGACTCGATTTCCCTTATATGTCAGGAATCTCTGTGATTGACATAGTTTGTTCCTACTGCCTCTCTCTGCTTTTTCCTGTTAATGAGCCTTGGCACAGCTTATGAAGGATTTAAATAGATCGAATCAGATGGAGATAACTCGTAGATAGATCATAGAGAATAGGGTATCAGAGAGGGAATACTATGTGATTTGGGTAGCAGGGGGTAATTGTGACAACTGAAAGAGATGAAAATTGAACAAATATGGAGCCTAAGGTACAGTAGAAGGCTGTAGGTGACAGCGAGAGAAAAAAGAGACACATATGAGATTGTCGGGTTGGACTAATGAAGAACCATGGATTGTAGGTCCTTGTTCTTAATCAAAAGGACAAAGGTTATTGCTATTTTAAGAATAGATTGAGAGACAGAGAGAAAACCTTCATTCAAAGCAAATGACAGCTGGCCTTCATGCCTCTGTGCACTCCACATTATGAGGGCACACAGTGGAAAAAATGTCGAGATGTAAGGAAAAGAGGCCTCAGATTTTCAGCATTTCCCAGTCGACTCGCAGCAATAAGCCTTTCCCTGTAAGACCTATCAGTCTGTGTCAAGTATCATACAAGAGCCTCCTTGCTCTGTTTGTTACTCATGTATTCATTATTCAATTACCAGTCTTACTATGGTCCCCATATCACATAATTCAGGATTGCTGTGATGGTTTCCAAATTAAGTCAGTGGTGTGTACAAGCTGGCTTTGTGTTTTACTGATTATTATTTATGCTCAAATTTCCAGTTCTGGCTTTTACAATCAAAACGTTTTACACACACACACACACACACGCACACCCACACACACCCACACACACACACACACTTATTACATTCAAATAGAGATTATACCCTTGGGTTAGCCTCTCGGGCCAATTAGCACTGATAAGTCCCCCTGCAGTAGAAAGAGATACTGCGCCTGGCTGGGATTTCCACCCTCTCTTTACCCTCTTATCTCTCAGCTCCCATAGTTAGCTAACCTATAAGCACAAGGGAGCAACCATCATTTTAATAAGCACCACATGGGAGGCTGACCTGCACTGTGGGTAGGAGCAAATTAATTCTGGTCGGTTTAATATGGGTGAAAAACTCTACGGGGTAAAAGTTTTGAACTGTGTGTCTAGAGATTGTAAAGACAATAAAGAAATGTATGTATGCAGGTAGGACTAAATAAAGATCCTTACCACTCACACAGACAAACACA